CAAGTGGCTTCCTTACATTTAGCCCTGCTTTCCCAAAGCAGGGCTAAATGTAGAAAGCAACTTACGGCACGGCGGGGAATTCCACACACTGCTGCCGCCCCTCTGCTCCCTGCCGCCCCAAGGCGGGGCCTCGGTGCCCTGCTTATCACACATGCAGCCTTTAACCCTCCGCTTCCTGCTTTGTAGTGCTACAAAGTGACCGTGTTTTACTGCTCCTCCTTCTCAGTGCAAGTCTGGTAGTCTGCCAAGGTTGAGTGCGGAGTGTTCAGCAGGGATGTAAAATATACTGCCTAATATATATATACTGCCTAATACACAGCGAGACACTAGGGAGCAGTTCACTTTCAAAGATTTGGTGAAATATGGAGTGCATCGAGGACAGTCCCAGCTCCAGGCTCTTTTCTGATTAGTCCCGAATCTGCAGTGGCGTCATAAGTGGGGTGCGGCCTGCATCCGGTGACACCATCATAGGGGGTGACACCAAAAAGACTGACAATCATTTTGGTGCCACCTTCTCTGAAAACTTGGTCACTCGGTCATGGACTGTTGCCCACACCGGGTGACACCATCAGAGGGGGTGACACCAAAAAGACTAACAATAATTTCGGTGTCACCTCCTCTGAAAAGTCGGCCACTCGGTCATGGACCAATAGCCCAACAGCTGCACGAGAGAGGAGGGGACTCAGGGGCATACCTTGTGCTGCTCGATCAATGTCCCCTCCTCTCTTTGCCAGCGTCGAACACCAAGATGGCCGCCGGCAGTGACGTACATAATGACGTCACGTGTATTCATCATGACGGGCGCGCTGGGTGACACCCGGCCTGGTGATGCCCATCTGGTTTAAAAAAAATTTAAAAAGCAGCTCCGGCTTCCCCACCCCCCAATCATTCAATCCTGCCACTAGAGGTCCTCAGTCTTCGAGGATGTTTCATGCCCGGAGTCATTCAATCTGGAAGACTGAGGGCATCCTGTGAGTTCATGGTGTCATGGCCCTGCCTCTAGAGTGGGATGTCCCCAAAGCTGCTCCCATATATATTGATGTAGAGAGGGACGCTGATGTCATCAAGTTAGCACGGCTCTCGGGATCACTGAGGACCAACCTGCCCCTGGAGAAGAGGTGGAGAGGAAAGGGACCCCGAGTGTCATGTGACCAGTCCTGCCCCTGAAGAAGAGGTGGAGAGGAAAGGGCCCCCGAGTGTCATGTGACCAGTCCTGCCCCTGAAGAAGAGGTGGAGAGGAAAGGG